ATGTTTTTAACGATATAACCTTCAGGCAATACCTCCTTTGTCTTCATTTTCATCGTCTTCAGATGAATTATTTTAAAATCATTTTGTAAATTAATTTCTTCACTTTCAGTGAACACATTTTTATCAACCATCAAAAAATCTTTAGAATTATATTCACCTACAGTTAAACACATTTCATTGACACTTTCTTTGATGTGTTCGTCAATTTTTTCTACTTAATTTGTACTATTGATACCATCATAAGTAACACAAGTTTTAGAAAAACATACTTTAATTAAAATTAAAATTAATAAATTTAATTTAATCAATTTTATTGTAATTTATGATGTACCTACCTACCTACCTAACCTACTTATTATATCAATAATAGTAACGTAACGTTTTTGTTATACACGTGTGTCATTTTCTGATTTATGCAAGGTTTTTACTAACTCGTTCTGTTTCCGTTTTAGGAAGGCTTTATTTTATTGAGATTCAACGTCGATATAAGACTATAGGAACATTGTGGGACCAAAGAAAAATTATTTTTAAATAGTTTTTCGTTTTATTTATGGTTCACATCAGATATATATATATATATATATATATATATATATATATATTTGGTTGATGGTATAGTAAGTTTTCTTTTTATTTGCGAGAAATTACGCAGATACGTTCTAAATATTAATACTAGATACGTGACGATATGCTTTAATAGTTCTAACAAAAAACTTCGATACAAATCCGTCTGAAAATAGTTTCACCCCAACATTTTGTGAAATTCTAATACAATAATGGAACCTCCAAAGCTACAAAGTATATTTCTATATAATCACAGTGGTGTAGTTAGCTGAGGAAGGAAGAGGTGATAGGTAGATCGATACCCCATGGAATTATTAATTGGTGATGTTTCAATCATGGTTAAATTTAACCTATAACCTATAGCTAATAAAGTAATATAATATTTACACACAACATACAATATTTTAAATCGCCCTACCCCACCCTTAATTGAGTTCCAACTACGCTACAATATAATCAGTACGGGTGCATAAATGGTAATACTATGGTATATATTTTCAATATTCCGAGGCTTTGTTAGAAGATTCACAACAGATGTTTTTTTACTAGGGTGGATTGTTGGTCCACCGCTTAACCCCCAATCCTGGAGGGCCGGTTTTAACGAACTAGTAAGTTAATTTGTCATATACTACCAATAGCGTGGCGAACTCAACAATTTTCAGAGGCAAGTACATTTTGTCGACACCCGCCCACCCTCTCAAATAACTGTGAGGCGACCGCCTCTGGATTACCTACATCGCAACACCACTGTATACTACTATAGTTTACCTTCATATTTAATTTAACGCACTCAACGCAGTGCGTCTAATCTTCGACCCATGCCCAGTGCTTCGTTACCTTATCTCACGTGCACGCCCTCATCTCCACTAATTATGATAACTGATACATAATTATATAGCAATTCAATTCATAGCCATATCTACTCGCAACAACCAAATATATTTAAAAAAAAAAAAAAAACCGTGTCTCCGGTAAAAATAAAAATAACACGGCGTTAATCAAACAGTGATGATGCTCTTCATTCTCTTCTTACTCTTCCGCCAGAAAAAAAAACAATTCTTCGGAAAACCACTCAAAAATATTCTCGTTTCCATATTGCTATTCTATACTAAATGAACCAAAATCCTTTGATTTCAACAACTCTGAGAATGCAGAGAACATCACTGATAATATTGCAATTAACAACTACTTCACAAACCCACTCTAATGATTACGTCAGACGTATCTTCAGAAAAAACTAAAATACTTCCGATTTTAATTTTAAATCAAAATCTTGATTACAACCTTTTATGTAAGACACTCATCGGCCCCGTTGGCGAAAACGGATTTATCTGTAAAACTACTTAAAAACTAGTCAAAGTCCAAGCCAACTCCTCCGACAACTACTGTCAAATTATTAAATTTCTTAATACCCAACAAAACGCTAAATTTCACATTTATCAACTTCAAAGCAAAAAACCTTTCAGGGTTGTAATCAGAAATCTTCCCCCTCCACCTCCTGAGATGATATAAAATTTGCGTTAGAAAACTTTAACTTATCAGTCCTCCAAGTGGTAAATGTTCTGCAACGGCAAACAAAGATATCTCATACCCTGTTTTTCGTGGACTTGGTTAAAGATAATAATTCAAAAACGTTTTTCGATATCACTTCAATTCTCCACAACAAGATCAAGGTTAAAGATCCCAGCAACCCTCCTAAAAGACTAAAAAGAAAGTGGTTCCGTGACCTACTTCTCTAATTTAACCTTATAACACTGTCAGGAGTGTCATCAGAGGGCGGCTTCTTCTTTATGTCTTCTGGTAGCAACCATTATTGTTAATACTTATGCTTATTATACATAATATAGTATAGATTTTTTAATTCAAAAGCCTGTGAACAATTTACTCTATTTCATTCGGAGGATTTTCTACCGTAAAAATACTATTTTACGAGCCAATGCGATCCATTTGAATAAGAGAAAATAAATAATTATTGACTTTCTCAAATCATTATAATGTTATCCGGTTATATCTACACTGTCTATCAATAAATATGTTACGGGTAACGTTAACATTTGGTTAATGTCGACATTATCTGGCTAAAGTCAACATTAGCCTACTGTTATCATTACCGTTATTATTAAATGTTGGCTAATGTTAACATTAACCGGATAATATGATATTAGCCAAGAACTTTTGGATAATGTATAACAACCATAAAATTTTAACGTGCATGAGATAAAATCATTGTAAATCATTAACAATATTAAATATATTTAACATACAATAAATTATATATTCATAAGTACAATTTCTTGAGTCAAATTTTTGAATTTTTTTTTTTATTTCTGCTATCATTCGATGTTTACCCCCATGACCAATATTCCAATATTAAGGTGTATCTCATTTAGTATGTCATATAGGTAATTCATCATTTTTTACGTATTATAGTAAATTAGTAAGTATAGTAATTATAAATTATTATATAATTATATAATATTACTAATTATAGTAAATTAGTAAACTACCTTTTTTAACAGGTGCTATAAATTTCTCTTCTCCTCTGATATTAATAATTTCAAATTTATTCAAACAACGAGATTTATTGCCACCTTTCAATTCATTAATTATATTCAAATATTTTACATTTGACAAATAAGACGAATTATCTTCTCGTTTTTTTGACTAAATCTGTTACAAGTCAAGACAAGATGTACTCTAAAAGTCCGACGCTTTGTTATTGTATAGAATGCTAATAAAAATTCTATAGTTTATTTAATATACAATTTTTAAAATTATCCAATATTAACTGGTTAAGGTTAACATTATCCGGATAATGTTAATAATTCCTGCTTATAAACGAAAAACAACACATTAGCCATAACAGATGGCTAATGTCGACTTTAGCCGGATAATATCGACTTTATCCAAATTTTAACGTTACCCGTAACATATATATGTATATATACAGTATCAAAACGCGTGAAAATACCGTTTACCTATCATAAATTCAAAAGCGTACGGTGCATTTTAATGTGAACAAATATTAGTTTTTATATTTTTAATTAATGCAACTATATGATATATTATATAATATAATTATTAAATATTGAGAATTTTACCACTGAATTTATTTCATTTATTTACAATAAGCCATATAAATTGTTAGTTTTTTTTTTTTTTTTAATGTTAATGGCAATATAACAGTGGCGGATCGTGTGCTTTGAAAGTGGGAGGGCGATATAAAATTGCTTATTTATGTGATGTGTCGAACATAAATAATATTAATAATAGTTATTTAATTAAATCCATTTAATACATATAAATTATTATATATTATATTTTAAATTATCAAAACTTTTTTTTTTTGGAAAAATAAAAATACAAACTGAAAATCACAAAATTAAAAAAAAAAAAAATTATAAGACTTTATACTTAAAATCTAAACGTCTATCTTTTGTTTCGCTAAACATATCAATCACTTTTTTATTAAAATTGGCGTCATTTGAAATCATTTAATTTTCAATATTCATCATTGTTAGAGCGTTTAACCTTTCTTCTCCCATTGTGCTTCGTAAACATGTTTTTATACGTTTCAGCGTTGAAAAACATCTTTCTACTTCGGAAGATGTCATAGGAATTGTAATTAATATTTTTAACAGAGTAAGGATTTCTCGAAAAGTTTCATTCATATAATTTGATATTATATATTTTAGCATTGGAATTACACCATTCAAAGTTCGAAAGTCATCTCGAAAATACATAACTTCTAGTTCAGTTTTCAACCTTTCGGTATCAAAAAACGTATAGCATTCAATTGTGCATTGAAAATATTGTAATGGAAATGTTTTAGAATATTCTAAATATTTTTCAGCTTTAAATAAGTTAGCGGCGGTTAAGTGTTTAGTAAATTCTAAACGATCTTTAGCTTTGGCAATTATTGTATCGCAGACTTCAAGTACAGCATTTTTTCGCGATATATTCATGGTTTCATGTGATTCCAAACGTGATTTTTTTATATTTATATTAGGCATATTTGAAGCACTTTCAATAATATCAGTTACATTATTTCTTATTTTAGATATTTCGTTTTTAAATTTTTCAACTGAACTATTTATTTGTACCGGATCAGTATTAACGGCTTGAACATTGTTATATAAACAGTCTACATGTGGCATTATTCTATGAAAAATAGATAACCAAAATACAAATATTGAATCACTTAATAAACGTTTTATTGACCTAGCTTGATTAATAGTCAAAGTTTGTTGGGAAGATTCTATTATTTTGTCCATGCACTCCGTTATTTCATCTCTATACTCATAAACAATGTTAACCGTACGTATATTGAAATTCCATTGAGTTTGTACTGCCCGTGGTAATCTAACGCCAACTAATTTATCCAATACGGCTACTCTTTGCGGTGAATTTGAAAAAATACCGGTATTTCTGATAAATTAAAAAAAAAATATCCGAACTTCTTTATTTTGAGATACTGATTGTGTCATAATCCAGTTTAACTGGTGTGCATAGCAATGAATGCAATACGCATATGGGTATAGTTCCTTAACCTTAACATTAACTCCACTCTTTTGTCTACTCATGACTGCCGCGCAATCATACGATTGTGCTATTAGTTTATTCGGAGTATTTTTTAAAATAGGATTTATTTCAGATAATATTGTTGATGTTAATGATTCTGCATTGTGTCCATCAGGATTTAAAAACCCCCAAAAACATTCTACTGGTTGACCTTTAAGTTCATAGCGAAATACAATAACTAACTGAAACATATTAGAAATGCCAGTAGTCTCATTGACGATTATAGAAACAAATTGAGCAGTTTCTATTTCTAATAAAATTTGTTTTCTTGTTACAAGTATGTAGTATACAATCTAACAAATCATTTTGTATTGTTTTAGATGTCCCTTTAAACACTTTTGAATTTCCAAAATAACTACGCAAACTTACATCTAAGTCTTTACATAACTCAATAACATCGAGAAAAACACCTTTACTGTTAGAGTTAATTTTTTCATTGTGACCTCCTAATGGTAAATTATGTTGTCCACAAAATTTTATACAGTTTAGAATTTTTTCTAATATATAACGATGATTATCTATTTCTTCATTATGACGTTGAATCCTAATTTTATAGCCCGAGTCAATTTTATCGAATATATTGATAGTACCGAGTACTTTAAGATTAGCTTAATTTTGTAAGTGTTTAAAAGAATTCTCGTGTTTTTAATTTTTTTAGATAAATGACCCAAATGTGTTACACCTGGTTTAGTTCAAGAAATTTCACCACCAAAACATAAACAAGGAAAACAATAAACAGCTAGTTTTATAACACAGCCACATAACCACTTGTGTTTTGCATAATAATCTGTATTAAAATGCCGAATATATTCATTTTTACTCTTTTCGCTTTATTGATCAATCCTTTCAATTCAGGTGTAGGTCTTCCAAGCTGTTTTATTTCAATTTTTTGTTCATAAGTATATGATGTAAAAGGTTTTGAAATTAAATCAACCGCACTAAGTAAATTATAAACACACGCAAGTTCGGAATCCCGTGTACATCGGGCGATTAAAATCATCGCCCCGGCGGCAGCGTTATTGCTGTGTCACCCCTTCTTAGTTTTTGTATTCCGATCATGCTTATGAATAGCGACTTTTAACATCGCCCAAGCATCGGATGCGCTGCTCGCAGATCCCGGCAAATTGTTATCGGTTATGGATTCTCAGAAGCTACAGTGTTGAATGATTTATTTTAAAACTCATATTATCTGATAATGTTTTTATAATATTTATTAGTATAAATATAGGAAACACAATTCTTATTTTTGACAACATTACGCTACAATATAAATTTGATATCAAACTTATAAATTAGTAATAAATGATAATTATAGAAGGGGGCGATCGCCCCATCGCCTCTATCTACAGTAGCCGCCACTGCAATATAAATAATAATAATTAATAAATATTGTTATGTAAATATATTGACATGTTTTGTAACCATACTCAGGACCAGTGGTAGATTTATAGGAAATTGGAAAAGCAACATATACAACTATCTAGAGCAGTAATATTATGTGAGTGAATACTTCTTTCATTACAATTTAAGGTCGTTAATTTGTTAATTTCGGTGGAAGACATAAGCGCCATAATGAGATAAGAAAAAAAAAAGTCGTATCGTACAAAAGCACCAAAATCCAAGATATCTGTAAATTAAATAACAGATATTAAATTTAGAACAATATCGTTCAAAAACTCCCAACGCTTAATCTTAATTGACAAATTTATTATATGATTACGATAAATTGTCACATAGACAGAAGTGATGGGCAACGATATCAATAATTTGATACGATATCGATATCGTATTAAATCTTAATGTTTAATATTAACTTATAAAGTTTAATATTATTTTACTAAATTTATAAAAATATAATTCGATACGATATCGATATCGATCAAATTCCGATATCGTGATACAATAAAGAGAAAATCGGAACGATATCGATACACAAAAATATATTGTTGCCCAATACTAATAGACAGTGTGTGAGCAAGTTTTTTGTTATAACATATTGTTAATACCTATTTCGTTATATCGTTATAATATTATACTTTATATTTATGTGCATATATATTATAATTTATTTTATAAAATAGCAACGGATTTATTAACTTTATATTGATTTGCATGTATATTATAATTTATTATCGACATTTTTTTTTAATTTTTTTTTTTTAATTTTTAAATAACTACCTACTTATATAAAATATTAATTTTGGCGCAAATGATAGGTCATTTTTGTACTTTTGGTGCTTATGTCATACAGCCGTTAATTTTGGTTTCGCCAATCTATTCCTACAAATCGTCTGTAAAATACAGTTTTAAAAATATCTAATAGTTTTACTTAATTTGAAGTTTTCATAAAAATTCCTAGTAAAAAGAGCCAATACTGAATTTTTTATTATTATTGATTTACTAAGAATAATACTTTTTAATTAACTGCTGTCCAGAATGCGCAAGACTCAATACGATTATGGTTTCGGAGAACTAAAATACCCCATTATTTTATTAGATTATTTTGTTAATAGATTCTGTAACGATATCCCAATCGATATATTTCTTGGTATTTCTGTAATTTTAATCGTCTTTATAGTCTATGAGAAAAAACATTTGCTTTGGAGAAATCTTCATGCAGTTATAACCATCAACCGATGTAGGTAAGTTTTTATAATTTTATTATTATATAAAATGCATTTATGTTTGATCTCTCGACACATTTCTAATATCAAAAATAATTTATTTTTATTTTTAAACACTACGTTCTATTTAGAAAAATTAAGTCGTCATCATGTATGTTAAATATGTAGAAAATATGTACATTGTACATATTTACACAGTTTTAAAAACAATACTTAAAACTCTACAATTTCTCATTCGTTTTCCAATACTTATTTATTGAAATGTTAACTAATTTTTATTGATAACAATTTCGAAGAATTGAAAATATTATTTTTTAGATTTCTGTATTATTTGTCAAATAAACTCTTTAGGTCGATTAGCATCGAATATATAAATTAATAAGATGGTTTAAAAATTATTGTAATCTATGTATTTTATTTGTATTTACCATCTGAATTATTTATTTGTTTTTATTTATCACAATATGATGCATATATATATATATTAATAAATATATACTAATTTAAAAAATGTGATAAAAGCTGCAAAGACAACGAATTTTTAAAATAATTACCACAACTCGAGACTAAGATTATATGGATAACTAACATACGAGTACATACGAATAGATAAAAACTAAATAAATAGAAAAAGCATAAACTCAATTTTGAAAAACAATAAATAATATACTATTATATATTATATGAGTGTACATAGATATATATTTTTTAATTGGATCATTATTTTTGAGTTGGGTTAAAATCTCTCAATCCATGCCAGGATACAATAAGTGTTAATGACTGGCTTTTATGTTTTAAAAAATAAAAATTACTCGTGCTTTAAAGAAGATATTCAATATTTCAATAAGTTAATGCAACCCTATTTATTATTAAATCTTTCTTCGGTTAATTCATCTTTTTTAATGATTTTGTGTATTAATTTATTTCTCAGTACCTCTTTGGATAGTATTTTTTGACTACTATTCACGATAGAATGTATAATAAGTTTATATTTTTTCAAATTTACATTCATTTTATATCAAGATGATAAGCATACATTTTTTCTAGATAAGTATGGCACAATAAGTAAATAGGCTATCACAACTATATCTAACGATTTAGTTGTGTTAGCCTATTTACACGTATGTTTTTATTTAATAACCATTGTATAAAAATTGATTTTATTGTTGGTCATTATATTTTAATTTCAAAATGATAATAAACTGTTATGATTTCTACATCAGAAACGATAAAAAATTAATGAGGGTTATACATTTATAAATCAGACTACACAAATCATGTCAATATAATGGAACTAGTAAAATTAAAAAACACGTACCAAATTTATTTTTGACGCTTTTATTGATGAAATAAATTGTTATTTAATGATGGAAAAAAATTTGCAATTTTCGTTATGAACATATTTGGTTATTAGAGCGTTTGGATTAATAAAATATTTACATTTGTGCTGCTTCTATTACCCGTGTATGCTATGGTTAAAATTAAAATTAATAATTTATATTGATTTTATCGGCACCGACTAGATTAGTATGAATAATTACTGGTTCGGATAATTCTTGGTGAATTCCATAAAAATCATTAAAATTTCATTTCATAGATTCAATAGTTTGTTGTAACATAAATAAGGTTATCTACACAAAATATGAATATACTAATTTTTTTTAATTTTCTCTGGTGCATACATTTATAAATTTATTTTACATGACTTTGCAATTACGTTATGATCAATAAAACTATTATGTGTTATTAAAGTATCTATATAATATCTTCTAAATATATTGGTTCTGGTTTTCTCTTAAATTTTAACTGCTCTTTCTTTCTTTAAGTGAAGGATAAAGATCGGTAAATGTTTACTTCTATAAATCGAATATCAGATAGAAACAGTAATCAATTTAATCGAAATGCAGTAAAGACTGAATGATTGAACCAAACATGGTATGCTATCATTCGATGATGTGGCAGTTCAAAAAAAATAATAATTTATGATATTTTTTTTTAGATTGCACATAATATATGACTTTTAAACATGATAAAATGTATAAAAATAATGAAACGATTACATCTCATTGTTGATAAAAAGTTACATATATCGTGTGTTCATCAATTTAGGGAACACCGAATTTCTCAGCCGGATTATGTTGGAATAAATCGAATTTTTTTTTTACAAGCTAGTGGTATATAAATACACATTTTCAGATAAATTTAAAATGTTTAACCCTCCATTACGCGCATGCGCAATGCAACTTACTTTTTTTTAATAGCAACCGGTATTTTTGATACAAAATTCGGATAGACTGAATTATTTTAAGTCATTTTGACCAACTAACTATGGCTCTAAAATTTAAATTGACTGAATGAGAACCATTTAAATTTTAATAAACAATACATTTTTACAATTCATTATAAAATACATAAAACCATTTATAATTATTATTGGTTACTTTTTGAATATTTTTACGTACTTTTTTTTTTTTATATACGTTTTATAAACAAGATTAACATAATATGGATTTACAATTATTTAATTATTAAATTAATTATTACTCCGTCACGTAGGGTTAAACATTTTAAATTTGTCTGAAAATATGTATTTATATACCATTAGCTTATAATAAAAAATTCGATTTATTCTAACATTATCCGGCTGAGAAATTCAGTGTTAAATTGTTTTTAAGATAAGATAAATTAGATAAATTTATTTATTGTTATTAAAATTAATTTTATGCCAAAAATTTAAAATTTGATAAACATTATATATATATATATATATATTAAATACTTAAAATATTTGAATTGTATATAGGTATATTAAATATAGTATGTGGAACTTATGACAGTTATAACATTCCATTTATAGTAAAATTATTTTAAATTATAAGAGATTATTTAATTTTTATTATATTTTTCAATGGATACAAAATCAACAGAATTATAATTGTATTAGAACTTGAGATATATGAAGATGTTAAGGGATATATGTTTTATTATTTTTAATATTTCGGGTTATCCCAGTAATTTTTTGTGAACCGCTAATTCTGGTAATATCATTTTACTATAAAAATATATTTTTTAAAATTTAGTTTAATAAAAAAATATAAATTAATATCTGTTGTGAATATAAATATTTACTCTAAACTTTTATTACATCGTACCAAATTCAATGATAGTATATGAACTTAAATTACTACACTAAATAATATCCATCGCCTTTGTACCTACCGAATTATATTAAATAATTTAGTTTTTCAAAAAATGTTATTCACACAGTAAATACTTGTTATTTTCGTAAAACATTTCCTAATATGAAACACAAATATAACTCATTTTCATATCTCAGTTACAAATAATTCAGTTAATAGTTCCTCTGACTATATAAAATATACACATATACACTGTGTACATATATGTATCTATATTAATAAATCGTATTATCTTAAACAACAAATAACTCAATTTACTTATGTATAACACAATCGTATTCATTAAACGCTAAACTTAAGACTGACGAATATAATTCGAACTCTAATAATACCATTATTTTTAGGTATATACGTCTTGAACTTAAAACAAATATATTTGGGTTAGGTTAGCGATCAACTGTCGATTTTATATCATTGTAAATCTCAAATATTTTTTAATATATTCTATATTGAATTTAATTTGCCGTCGAAATCATTGCACGTAGTATGCGGTAAACATTGTACTCGTTTCGCGAAAAATAGTAAAATAACAATAATATTTCTATCATCGAATGTATTTGTATTTGAATGGCTATGTATTTGAATAAAAGTAAATTAAAATTGTCCTTATCTATGTGTGTGTGTGTGTGTGTTTATATATGTAAATATATAGTTTATACCTATATATACTCGTAGTTATAGCTTGTACCAGTACAGTCTGTTGGATAACTGCCGGTGTTGCTGTTATTACACTGCTAACAGGTGCGAGTGTTAAGATGTTTTATTTATTTTTACCACCACCATCAACCATATATACCCACGATATTATTAAACCAATGGCAACAGTAACGGCAGTCAGAACTTACGGTGGATCAAAAATGCTACAGTTGAACGGTTCGATGACTCTGAATTTATTAACTGATTGGATTTGAAAACTTCATAAAGCTCTTCTTCGTTTTTGCACCCGGCGATTGTGGCAGCTATACACTTATAATTTCTATTCAGTCCATCGATCCCCATCGTAACTCCCGTTTGCACGGTAAACTCTTTATTACATAACGTGCTAAAACGGGATTTAGTATACTCGATGGATCGCGTAATCCTGTTAAATAATATCGTTGAGACCAATTCCGCGTTTATGTATATAATATATATATTAAATAAATAAATAAATATATAAATTCCGTTTTCTAGATCATAGAGTGCATAATAAAATATAATATTATGGAGCCAGATAAACAACGTGTTATCATTATTGAAATAATTTTATCAAAGAAATATAATTTATAAACCCCAATATGACAATAAGGTACTGTATATGTGTATTTATATTATAAAATATACCTTCTAGGATTTAATAGTATGTTTGCGAACAAAATTTCTGTAAATCATCTTCAATTGGATGTGACACAAAAATATTTATATATATATATATATATATATATACGTGTTAGACTACTAGTGTAATCATTTGTATGGTTTTATATGTGCGAGCGCTCAGCCGTTTTATTATTTAGTTGAAATACATGTTTATTATTATTATTATTACGATTCCTTGATTTTTTTCATTTCGTGTATTATCAAGTATTGCACACGCTTCACGAGTCGGCGCAGGTAACCGCTCGTGTTTGAGATTCACGGCCCTGTCCGGCGAACAGTAACTTTGCAAAATTGACCAGGCATTGCTCGCATGCAAGATCGCATTAATTTGAGAACCACTGACTTTCTATGGTAACCTATGACACATTGACCTTAATAATTTATATTAATTAAAAATAAAATTACAAAATTCCAAAAAGGAAATCCAAAATTGGCTGCTCGATGTGAAGAGAAAAAATATTGCAATCTCGTAGAGGAAATGAAAAAAATTATTTATTTACCCCATATTCTGTCATATTCTTGACAGTGTACAAAACGGTCCACATTTAATACAATGCATTGATAAAGTACCTATGCAGATCATTCTCAAGTTTCTATTGGCCATATGAGTACGATTTATCAGTGGTATTGTCTTTATTCCAAAAATTCCAATGATATCAAGTGGTTATCCATCGGATTTAAGTGCCTTCAATTTCCTATCAAGCTGTATTTTGCGATGATCTAACAAAGCACAAGGACAAACTTTGAAAATTATACACATCGACAACAGAGAATGATGTTTCACTCATGGTCAATTTTATATTGCATGCTCTCAAGTGTGTTCAGCAAATAATTTATTTAGACATATATGCTCATAACTTAAAACGGAAAACATAGTCCACCAGAAACAATTATAGTTTATTGTTTTCATAAATTACATAAATTTTATTTCGGTCTACAAAATGTATAAAGTTTAGCTATTATATTTATCTCATAAGTCTAAGATATTTATTGTTTATGTTTTTTCCTCTAACATATTTATTTATTAACTAATATATTATAATTTAATTATTATCTAATATCTAATTTAGTTTATATTCACAATGTTGTAATTGCGCAATATAAGTTTTAATGTACTACCGATAAAATTGTGAACTTTTTTTATTTTTCATTAAGATTTCAAAATATAATGAGATAAACACATAGGCTAACTTTTTTTTCTATTTTTAATTTAAAAAATAATCTAACAGGAATTTATTTTTGGTCAACGGAAATTTTGAATATTTTTTTGTGTGTAGGTATAGGATTGCCATTGGTTACAGAAAATTTTAGCGTTAGCCAGGGAATGTTTAGAACCATTATATATGTATATATATAATATATATATTAATAGATAATAAATATAATATTTTACAAGAAATGGGCAAGTTATTAAAGAAGGGAATGGGATCGGAGACAGTAATGAGGTCGATAATATGGAGGGAAATGGGACGTGGACGAGCACGGTTACAAATATTTTATACTCGAGCAAAGCCGACTAATTCAGCTAGTATATAATAAAGACTAATGTAACAAAATATTTATTATAATTTTATTATTATATTTAATTTTCGATTTAATTTAAAATTAGTAAATTATAAAACTATGTAATTCAACTACCATTCAAAAAGAGGGAAACCTTTTTTTGTTTTAAATAGAACGTAATTAAATCAAATTTGTTTTTTTAAAACTAATAGGCCTAATAAATGTTCTATGTCAGTAAAATATTAAATGAATAGTGTCAATCTTGATATGTAATAAATGTATTAATGATGAAAAAAACAATTCCAGTATTTTTAAATATTTATATTCTTGTCAATAAATATGTTAAAATATTGTCATTGGTGGATGATACGAATAAGAAATAAATTGAGTTTATAGTTCTCTGGGAGAACAGTGCTCAACTTGAGGAAGGACGCAAAGGGACGGAGTACCCCAACTAATTTTCAGAAATTTTAGCATCCCCCTACTATTATTATTATGTTATAATTATAACGCTTAACAAGTTTTGCGGACGCTCTTTTTTTTTTAAAAGTAGAGTCCCCCTTCTTTAATTTTTCCAAGTCGAGCATTAGTTCTCCATTTAACAATACTATGATCCAGTGCTATGTGTATTTTATATTTTTTTAATCATATTTATGAGCTCAGTGATTGTAAAACATATTAATTAATTAGTAACTATACGTAATCGGGTATTTCACTAAAAAATTTTTAATACTGTTAAAACAGCCAATCCATAAAATATAATCACGAACTCCTGGGGGAAAAATAGTTGTAAATTATTTCATTATCGGTTTAAGCATATTATAATATATTATTAAAAGCTTTTAGACTTCACCACTGTACCTGTACATTCATGGAAATCTTTAAACCTCATAATCGATTTATTATGAGTAAACACATGAATAGATTAAGTATTATAATTACTGTACTAACCGTATTTAAATATTAAACAAACAGAACATATTTTTTTTTTTATTCCGTAGTGTCCTTTTCACTAATAGTTCTGGAGGCATTCTAGATTTACAATCAATATTCAATTGAACTATTCCTTCAGCAAACAGCGATGATGGATATTTGTCAGTGATTATCATTTTATTCTAGTAATAATATTACATTTTGCATTTAATTAATTGTAGAGCACGCTACTCGCGAATTTGTTATTTTCATCTTTCACATTTTTACCAGGAACATTCTTGGTTTCGGACATCTTCACCGTAGACATTCTTGATTTTGAATATTTTTTTTCTGGACATTTTTACCGTGGATATTATTTTCTAGGACATTTTTATATAATACCGAAATTAATAATGACTAATTAATAAATTAGTATAAATGAAATAGATAAAAAATGAACATTTTAAATGGACTACTTTTACTGAGACATTAATATGACATTATCTATCTGTATGTTATATCACAGTAATGAATGTTAATGAACTTTCTGTTGCACACCTAACTATCTAATTTGTGCTTATTTTTTACAACAGTCAATATCATTACTGGATATGCTATCCTTCCTTATAAACATACATTTTCTTAAATTATGAAAACAAAATTTTGATTTTTGATTGTAACATATTGAGATGTTCTTAATAACTTATACCACAAATTGTTTGTCTTAACTGTAATAAAAAAGTTTAAAAAAAATTATATCTTAAGATATTTTAATCGAGATATCACGGTAATTCTGTATATTATGTGTTACTGTAACGATTGTGAAGATGACTATTCGACGGCATTGTCGAGAACGCTGCAGCAGCAGGAAAAACATTTATTATTGTGTGACTGCGCCGAACTTAAACGGCAACGTTTTGTTTACCAGTGTACATTGATAGCTCTAATGCGGGTCCCATTCAAAAACTCCTGCGAAAGTCGTTCTCAAAATAAGAGCCTTCCACGTTGTCGACGGGTCCTTTGCTATGTTCACTCGACTGGGAACTTTGATACTGGTTAAAGCCATTTTATTGTTTAGGGCAACTATCCGGCGGATATCGTCCACGAAACACGCCCCCTCCGTCGTCATTTCTTCGCCCGGTCCTATCGATTATTTGCACGGATTGTGTATACATTTAGACCGTGCAATACACACCTATATAGACATAGTATACGATTACTATATTATATATATATATATATTTATACCTTGTCTTGCGTAACATAGAATGCTATTTTATGTGTATACGTATTCATAGACGAGAGAAAAGCTTATTCAAAATATGTGCCCCGGAACGACACCACAGGTTCAATATTAATTTAACAACATTTAAAAACAATCGTGATATAATAACAGTAATAGTGCGGCGGGAATGGTTAATGGAAGCTTGTAACCGATTTCTAGTTTACTGTTTAAAACACTTATCTTAAGTGTTCAATACACTTGATGAACATGTTCTATTAAAAAAATACAAGTGGCTTGAAATAATAATTGAAGTTGGTATTTATTATAATTTCTCTACATCATACCTAAACGATGATGTAATAAAATTAATTCACAAAATCATCTAAATTTTTAGCGCTAAAAATGACTAAGGATTAGCTCAATCGTATAGTTTTCAAAACAAGTGTGTGGGTGGATGAAATTTATAATTATTATTAACCTTTTACTTCAGTTTTTTTATTAGTTTAATGCTATGGAATAGAATTACTAAACCCTAAAAGTGAATCTGCGTATTTGTTAAACAATTTAATGAAATCATAGCCAATAAAAGAATTATATAATTTTTCAAATTATTTAGTAAATGTATGTATAAGTATTGAAGCTGTGTATCCACTTAAAATATTGATCAAATATGTATCAGCAAAACCAACTTTAACTACCAATAAATGCGTATCATTCCATTCCCATTTTAAATCTAGCTTTTATGTGACTCGTCAAAATATTTTTCTATTAAAAAAAAAATTAAAGAAATTCAATTGTAAATATATATTAAATAGTTTTAAACGTTCCTTTTAAATATCAAAATTAAAAAAAAAAAAATGTGAAAAATTAATACAATATAAATTAATTTATGTTTGTGTATATTTCTTATGATAATTTTAATAAATTTGTTCTGTATTTTACCTTACAATAAATTATTATTCATCTATATATATATAACTATTATTAATTAATGATAAATTTAGATGGAATTACTAATAGCTACTAATAGGATTGTCCAATTACAATAATAAAGGAAACAATTTGACTTCCTGATAGAGTAGGTTATGGCTTACCTTAACAGTATCTGAAACTTTTAGTTACTATTCACGAATCAAAAGGTCAAAACAAGAAACGATATCAAAATGTTAATACAAATATTTATTTTTTTTTTCAAGTCTCAGAAAAAATAATATAAATCTTGGTATAATCACAGAATATATGTTTCATATATTCTATGGTATAATTACTTATATGTAGTAGAGCTCTGCACGGTGTGGTCTAGATCATTCCGGACCGGACCATGGTCCGGTCTTTTTTTGGTCTTTGTGTTTTTCAATTTAATGTGGTTAATGTGAAACGTTCTTGGATAATAAATGATCTACAAAAACCATATAAATCATCTCTGCTTATTGCTAAATCCCGATTGGTAGCGGTTAACTCTCTACGCACACACCATCACATTCGTTATTTGACAGTAATTGAATTTGTAAATCTTATGTTCACTCTGCTGTTGCACTATGAAGAAAAATGTATCGATCTTTATAATTGTCCGCTAGAGACCGCAACATATTTGATGCTTTTTCTTCTCCATGCTCAACTTTTATCTACGTAAATGTTATCACGCAAAACCATAACGCTCGCGTACGTAACTGTCACAAATTTTATTTTCTCCCCGTTCTCGCGAAAGCTAAGGTCTTCACGAAATTCATGGTGTTATGTTAAAGAGATTCACTGTCAATTGGGTGTTGAAATACTACCTAAAATGGAAGAGCTAGCGTGCGTCCGGTGCATGAGCTCCAAATTCAGGAATCCTAACCTCGTGTTTAGTTTCAATATATGTGGGCACACCATGTGCGCCAATTGCATCGAAGTGGCATTTGTGAAAGGTAAATCTTTTGATTTAAATTTTTATTTATCTTTTTTAATTAACTTATGTGATTGTCTGCTCCTTGGGTTATAAATTAAATTCGTTCCATGTAATTCTGGGATTTTTTTTCGAAATATATAATCTCGGATTTCATGTACAATATTTTGATGTAAATTAAGCTAGATATCTTACAAAATTCATAAAAAAGCTATGGGGACTTGCTCATAATTAACATAATAATCTATTTTTTTTTTATTTGTCAAGATTACCTGTTGACTGTTAATACCACATAAATTAAAGTGTTAAAAAAATAATATAAAATTGCTTGATGTGCACTAGCTAAATAAATAGAAAGATACATTAATTATTCCAATAATGAATACCATAAGTATGATTTTATTATGATATATTGTAATCAATATTTTTCAGAAATAATATTCCATATGTGGTTATTAAAGAATTTACACATTCTGCCAATAATATAAAATTATCTCGTCATAGTTTAAATAATTTTTTTATGAAAAATATTGTTAATATATACAGTCGAGTCTCGATCATTAGAATTTTAAGGTATATAAAAAATAATTTGACTTATGTATTTTTCGAATTACATAACTCAATTTTTTTTAAAAATACAAATAAATTCAAGTTAGCTTTTATTATATGTGCAGTTATTAACTACAATTACAATTTGAAAATTATATTTTGAAACTTATTTTCTATTTATATATGTATATATATAAATTAAAAATGTTTTAAAAGATTTAAAAACACAATGTATGTATAATTCTTGTAGAAAGAGTTAGAATTTAGAAAATAACAAAAAGTATAAGTTAGATAAGTAAAATAACTACTTGATATTTTGATCCTCTGAGTCAGATCAATGAATCGGTTACACTGCATCTACTAAGTCTTGATCACTTAATACTT